TTGTAATGAACTCGAGATTCAAAATACCAACTGAATTTTGAAACAAGAAAGATGATTCAAACTTCTGGCAGTTTACAGTTCAAACAACACGGCAACAAAGCTCACATCTATAAACAGAATTTGATCCACCCCCTCTCAGCATCTCTTTCTGTGTATCCTCCTCTTACAGGGTTTAAATAGAATTTGATATGATTTAACTCAGTACAAGAACTAACAGGCCTCTGTCGCTGCCCTATCTGTTATCTCTGTTATCTATTGTTTGATATGCAATAGATATACTTGTGCGTACACATACAACTCGTAAAACTCATTTAAGAATAACCTTTGGAGTCAAAGTCCCTGTCTCAATCAAGCAAATTTACTCGCCATGGAGTCTTGGGGGAGTCCACTTTCCAGCTCTGAAATCTTTGTAAAAGCTGGAGCTCTTTGAAACAATATAAAATACTGCAGCATAGAAATTAAGGTAAAATTTCTCAATTAAATAAAACAGAACTATCTTAAATAGCAAAGATCTTTGCATGTTATGTAGTTTTGTGATGAAACTGCCATGTACCTGGGATTCCAGGGATAACGAAGTCCAGTTCTTTCAAAACATCATACAGAGTTCTCTTTTCATTGACTTTGACCCATTTAGAAGGACCCCTGCCTGAGGAAAATCATATGAAGTTGATGCACTAAAGCTTTCAGCAACTTAAAATGCCAAATATTCAAGAATGCAATCAAAATGATTTTTAGTTCGAACTAAAAATCATTTTGATTGCATTCTTGAATATTTGGCATTTTAAGTTGCTGAAAGCTTTAGTGCATCAACTTCATATGATTTTCCTCAGGCAGGGGTCCTTCTAAATGGGTCAAAGTCAATGAAAAGAGAACTCTGTATGATGTTTTGAAAGAACTGGACTTCGTTATCCCTGGAATCCCAGGTACATGGCAGTTTCATCACAAAACTACATAACATGCAAAGATCTTTGCTATTTAAGATAGTTCTGTTTTATTTAATTGAGAAATTTTACCTTAATTTCTATGCTGCAGTATTTTATATTGTTTCAAAGAGCTCCAGCTTTTACAAAGATTTCAGAGCTGGAAAGTGGACTCCCCCAAGACTCCATGGCGAGTAAATTTGCTTGATTGAGACAGGGACTTTGACTCCAAAGGTTATTCTTAAATGAGTTTTACGAGTTGTATGTGTACGCACAAGTATATCTATTGCATATCAAACAATAGATAACAGAGATAACAGATAGGGCAGCGACAGAGGCCTGTTAGTTCTTGTACTGAGTTAAATCATATCAAATTCTATTTAAACCCTGTAAGAGGAGGATACACAGAAAGAGATGCTGAGAGGGGGTGGATCAAATTCTGTTTATAGATGTGAGCTTTGTTGCCGTGTTGTTTGAACTGTAAACTGCCAGAAGTTTGAATCATCTTTCTTGTTTCAAAATTCAGTTGGTATTTTGAATCTCGAGTTCATTACAAGTGGCATATCAGCAGTTCTTTCTGGAATATTTTCAGACCTGTTTTCCTATAAACAAATGGAAAAATGAATGGATGGTTGCATCTTCCTTGGTTATGTACTATTCAAGAGACAACATAATTTCTTAACTAATCATTTTTTAATCTTTTCAATCATTCTCACAGAATTTCTTCAGAAGGCATCAGTTTACGAGTTTTTTTTTTCCTGAATATTTCAAAAAATGGAACTATTTATGAAAATAATCCACTTGAAAGTAATTAGCAGACTAACCAGTTTTGTGAAATCACAACTTCAACTTGCGATTTCATACTAACATGTCTCTCTTAGATATTGCTGACATTGCATAAAAAAATTTTATTTTTAAAATGCGATTTTGAAATCGCATGTTCAAGATGTGATTTTGAAAATGCATGTTGAACATACGATTTCAATTGCCCAAGTCTCAAATCCCTAATCCCTATTTGAAATCTATCTTCAGCTTCTCACGGTGAACTGAATTAACTCCATCGTCGTTTTCCTCCACACCGGCCTTGCAATCCCACCTTTGATTTCGATCTTCAAAAGGCCTTGCAATCTAAGATCAAACACAAACAATCTTCTAATCGCTTTCAGGTACTCTTTTCTTTTCCGTTCATGCAAACATTATTGATTTTTGATTCAATCACTTGCTTTGCTAATAATTGATTGTTAAACCAGGCATCACAACTTTCATTTGTACCTGTTCCTAGTGCTCAACATGAAAAAAAGTAAATATGTTGTCCAGAAAAGAGGAATAGGTAGTGCACAAGTGTCAATTGGCCTTACATTTTTGGCAAAATGTTACAATTTATCAAATTTACTGCTTTCAACCTGGCAATTGTGGTTTGTTTGATTGTTGAAAATACTATTTATTGTATATTTTGCCTAAATATAAGAGGATACTTTCAACTATGTACCTAGGATACCTAAAATTTTGTATTTAGAAGAAGAAAAATTTATGTATAATTGAATATTATTTGCAACATAATTAATCAAATTTTATGTGATTATGAACAAAGTTATGTATAATGCTCAAAACTTTTTCCACAAGTTCTTTAAATCTGTCAATGAAATTGCAACTTCAAAATCTAATTTCACTACAAAATCAGGTTTTTAAGATGCGATTTCAAAATCGCATCTTCAACATGCGATTTCTTTACGTCATGTTGACCCCTCATGACACCTCATTACATATCAACAATAACTGAGGGAGACATGTCAACATGAAACTGTAAGTTGAAGTTGCCATTTCAAGATGAAATCACATGTTCAAAAAAGAAGTTAGTTTGATAAATAATTTCAGAAGTGAGTTATTTTTATAAATAATTTTATTTTTTGGAAAATTCAGAAAAAAAAAAAATTACTTTGCTCTAAATCTACAATAAATGCATATAAAAAAGGGCAAGAGAGTGGTGTCTGAATGAAATTTGCTAAATCTAGAACAATTGTCTACAAAAGCTTATAACCACGCGTTGAGAACCATATCTGATCACGTTAATGAATACAATCATGCATGAATTTGTGCGAGATAGCTTAGAGTTCGTCCATGGCTTTATGACTTCACAACTAAAACAACAATTTGGTGCGTGGAGTTCAAGAACTTAGAGCGGCTATCAATCTACAATTCGCAGGATGCTATTCAATTTCTTGGCAACCAAACAAAATCTTTCCAACATGCCCAGAATCCAAGTAGCTATAGTTAAATTTGAAATAGCACCCATAGCACAAACTCCTTTTAAAGGATGTAATGTAGCAACTGAACACAAACAGTCCCCAACTATGCTTATAGAAAGCATGCAAGTGAAATTTCCCAGTCAAAAAAAAAAAAAAAAAAAAAAAAAAAAAACAAAAAAAAAAAAAAACGAAAAACTGAAGTTCAAAATCGCTACTGTCCGCTGATATAAAACACTCTCGCTCGAGCGAAGCCTTTGTCGCTCTAGCGACCAGACACAGAAACTCTCGCTCGAGCCAAGAAGTTCTCGATCGAGCGAAGAAAAACCCAGACCGCTCGAGCGAAGGAAGCTCGCTCGAGCCAAGAAAGGCAACTCTCAGGTCCAGAACCAGACGCAACACAACTCTCGCTCGAGCGACAAACTCCTCGCTCGAGCGAAGGACCAAAAATCTGGGCAGCAACACTAGGCTCCCAAATACAACCAACCTGTAACAAATCTGCCCAACACATCTTATAACTCAATATACAAAGTAAAGAGGATGCAAACTAGATAATAAACAACTACCAACATCCACGGACACATGTCCGGATCACTGTACAACAAGGGTAAACCCGGGATCGCTATAAATTTATTTTTTATCTTTTCCGCTTCTTTTTTGTTTTTTCTCACAAAAATGAAACAATCTTGGAAAATCAATTCTTATATCTTTTAAGGTTATTTTCTTATGTACATTGAAATATTTCTTTATCATATCTATTTTTTGTGAAAAAAAAGTTAGCTTAGTTATATCTTGAGACATTTTAGTGGTTGACCACCTGGTGGATGAATTATTTTTTATGAAATTATTTGTTGGCTTTTTGACTTTAGCAGTTGACTTTAATGGTTCATTTTGTCCACTTTAGGTGCAGAAGTATATATTTTCACCCTTTGCTAATACATATATGTCTACTCATTTGCATCCTTTGCTAAGAAAAATGATAACATTCATTAATATTTTCTTTTGCTGTTGTTTGGAGTCAAATTGTGTTACCAATCCCTGAAAATGTCCTCACATAGATAGATTTATTTTTTATTTATTTAATGTTTGGAGTGAAATTATTATTTTAAAACTATGTAGATGTGCAAATCTTTTGGTATTTGTTAATTTTAATAAATAGATTCTTGGAAGCAAAGTACTAAGTGATTGATGTGTTTTATTGATAGTTTCCGTTGGAAACACAACTCATTTTGATAAATTGTTTAATTTTAGTAAAATTTGGTGGCGGAAAATGATTGGTAGGTTATTAGTTTGGCATCTGCATATCTATGTGATTTTTTATTAATTTCTTGAATGAGCTTCAATACAATTCAGTAGAGCTTAAGCCATCGATATGTTTGATTCCTAACAATAATGTAGGAGCCATGTATCTATTGATTGCTTCGTTCGGTTTGACTTGGTGAATTAAAATATGCTATGTATTTAATATTTATTTAGTTAAGTTCACTTTTGTATTACAGGTTTTGACAATACTAAGCCACATCAACCTCTAAAATTTTCAACCATTTGTTATATTTATATAGATTTACAGTCTAAGTGTGTTGAGATATAGTAGGATTTAATTTTATGGTAATGTGTTTCAAATATAATGTGTTCAATATGTTTCGAATAATGGGTCTCAAATATAATGATAATGTGTTTCAAATATAATTTTAAGTTCTGAGTTATCCTTTACTGTCTATAACTTGCTGTTGAGTGGATGGAGCTCTCAACTTTGCTAAATAACTTGTTGTTGAGTGGATGGAGCTCTCAAATATGCCGGTTTTTTGACTTTTTTTGGTCCTTACTTTGCTGGTTTTTGGATTTTCTAGGTGTTTGATTATTGAAAAAAATAGAGGATAATTTCATGGCTTCTGAAATTGTGAGATTGGGGTGGTGGAGTTTGACTTTATTAAATTACAAAGGATAATTTCATAGCTTCTGAAATTGTGAGATTGAGTTTGTCCACTTCAGGTGCAACAATATATATTTGTTGACTTTACTACTACACATGTTTCTACTCATTTGCACCCTTTGCCAAGTTGGGATGATGTGGCATCTTGGACAATTTTAATATTTATTAATTTGTAAGAAAAATAGTAAGATTCATTGTGTTACCAACACCTGAAAATGTTTGGAGTTAAATTATTATTTTCAAACTGTGGATTTATTGCAAATCTTTTGTTATTTGTTAATTTCAATAAATACATTCTTGGAAACACAACTCATTTTGGTGGCGGAAAATGATTGTTGGGTTATTAGTTTGTCATATGTGTGATTTTTTTTTTCCATTATGATTTTTTATTAATTCCTTGAATGAGATATTTTATCATATGAATTAACTGTGGATTTCAAAATGATTGATGATTTTTTATTAGTTTGTCATATGAATTAACTTTATAAATTTTACAGTTCTATTTAAACTTCTTTTAGTTCAATTAAATTCAACAAAGCTTAAGCCTTTAAGTATCTATTGATTGCTTCGTTTGGTTTCACTTGGTGAATTGAAATAGCTTTTGTATTTACATAAGTTATGTATTCCAAAATCTTTATAGGTTAACTATTGTATTATGTATTACTGGATTAATATGTATTTACTGAAGTCAACTTTTGTATTACAGGTTTTGGCAATACTAAGCTGGAACAACCTCTAACATTATGGATAATGTAAGTTGTCTTTTTTTAAAAAACTGGTACATAGATTTAAAAAAAAACTTTTGTACTATAGGTTCTGATTATAAAAAAAAAAAATCCTCATTTTTTACAGCTAGATGGAGACTTACAACAAACTGTAATATTCGTTCCCTTTACTCATCGTCTTATAAAATTTCATTTTGTGTACATATCAGCTACTTATTTGTTTTTGTATGTATAGGTTCAGTTTCTTCAACAAAGAAATGTCAGTGTAGTGATTCGTGATGAGCATGATTTCAATGTCGTTCGTATTTCTAATGTCAGCCCAAAAATCACTTTCTTATCATTTTTTTTATTTTATTTTTATTTCTTATACTTTGGTTATTTCTTAGACTTTGGTTATTTTTTAAAGGCAATGGAAAAGGAAAATGCAAAGGCAATGTCGAAAGGAAAAGAAAATGTGTCTTATGCTTCCAAGGATAAGGGAAAGGAAAATGCATGTCCAGCGGTATAGTTCTTAATGGTTTTTGTAAAGTGTTTTTCTTTTTTTAAATTGTTAGTTTTCGTATGTTTGTATTTTAAGCCGTAATTGTATATCGAATTGTTTATTTTAAGCAATAAACAATTGTTTATTTTAAGCAATAAACAATTGTTTATTCTAAGCCATAATTGTAGAGTGTTTTTGAAAATGCATGTCCAATTATTTATTTTAAACCATAATTGCATTTTTATCTTTTAAACTGTGCACTTTTTTAAGTGTCTCCTGTATATATGTGTAAATTTGCACCACTTTTCAATGTAAGTGGGCAAAAATTTTGAGATAAAGAGATAAAGAGAGGAGGGAGAAAATGGGTAACAATTTTTTTTTTTTCCAGCTATGTATATGGGGATACTTTATGAAGTTCATAAGTTGGCTAAACATTTGTTTGTTTGTATAACAAAACCACACAATTTAATATATAGATTATAAATGACAAAGGTGACTGATTGCAAGGGCAAGCGAAAGGAAAATGCATGTTTAGCGGTATGGTTGTTATTGACTTTTGTAGAGTTTTTTTAGTTTTTATTTTTATATCTTCATATATTGTATTTTATTTAGCCGTAATTGTATTTTATTTTTGAAACTATGCACATTTTTTAGTGTCTCCTGTATATTCTTAGGAAGAAAGAAATATATAGGAAATACTTTATAAAGGAATATATAGTGAGAAAGGAATATATAGTGTCTCCTGTAAGTGCATGGGCCCTACAAAGAAAATGGGGATACTTTATGAAGCTCATCTGCTGATTGAACATTTGTTCATCACTGTTACAAAACCACACAATCTGTTGGTCGAACGTTTATTATTCTCATAAGTTGGTTGAACATTTGTTCATTAGTGTAACAAAACCACACAATTTATTATTATTATTATTATTATTATTATTATAAAACTATGGGTAGTCATGTGCAAGAGTATAATACATTTTCTCTAAATTCTTGGCATTTTCTTTGGACAGTGGAAAATGGTACTTGATAATATTTGCATTTTAAGCATCCAATGATTTAATATTCATATTTTAGGGACCCAATGGTTATGTTATATCAAGAGCTGTATTAGCTCAACGTGCACGGCGAGAACGTGAAAGAAATGAAAATGCATGCTCTGCATATCAATCGGGACAACGCTTGCGACAAGAACGAGAGAGATTAGGAGCATATGTTAAAGACTTTCCTTCATTAACACCGAGTCGTCGCAGTCATGCTTGCCTAGAACAGGGTACAAAGACACTTGCGGATACTTTGTTGGCACAAAAACGAACAATGGTTACACATGCATTCACATGTTCGTTCTCTATGGAAAGTACATCCTTAGCTCGGAATTGGTAAAACATGTTTAATTCTTTAAATAATACTCTTACTTTTACATGTGTATAAATTTTAATTTATACACAACAAATATTTGTAGGTCTAATTCTACAGTCACATTTTTTCAAGAGGATCTATGTACAGATGATGAATTAGAAGATATGACTATAAGTACTGCGATTAATACTGAATCACACATGAATTCATGTCATCATTCTCTCAGCAAGATGGATGTGTTATGTCCTTACTGTTCAGCCTTACATTGGATGGACGAAAAATTAGCACAATCATCTCGAAAGCGTCCCCTATTTGGAACTTGCTGTTCAAAAGGAAAGACTAGGCTACCTCTGCTTATGACACCCTCTCCACCGCTTCAAGCATTATATGATGGGGATGATGATCAAGTAAGATCGTTTCGACGTTATACTCGAGTATACAATACAGCCAATGCTTTTACAAGTCTTGGTGCTACATTGGATCTAAGAGTATTAAGGGGAAGCGACCCTAAACCATTTATTATCTATGGGGAATTGCGACATCAAACAGGATCACTTCTACCACAGCCAGGTTAGGATGCGACTTATGCTCAGTTGTACATTTATGATCCTGATTCAGCTTTAGAAGTTCGAAATCGTAGAAATTCTCACTTACGAAGGGATGTTCTCAAAACTATTCAAGATAGTTTGTTGCAAGTTAATGCATTTGTAGACAAATTTCGCCAGGCTCATGCAATTTTGAATCAATTAGCCTTTACTGGACAAAATCTACCTGCTCATCTTCACTACAGTTCAGCAACAGACCAACGACGGTATAACCTACCAACTGCTGATGAGATTGTAATTGTAATACCAGGTGATGGAACCGAGGTTACTGGAATGAGAGATGCTGTTTTACATCTACAGGGAAATAATAAACTGATGCAAATTAATGAATGCCACCCAGCATATTTGCCATTGCATTATGTTCTATTATTCCTATATGGTGAGCTCGGATGGGAACCTGAGTTAAAATTGTGGGACGTTAAACATGATCGGCCTTCAACTGATCGATTTACTCAAATGGATTTTTATAGTTATCGTTTGTTTGAGCGACCTACAGAGTATTCAACAATTTTGAAAGGTGGAAAACTATTCCAAGAGTTTTTGGTAGATGCTTGGGCTGCAACTGAGCAAAATCGGTTGACGTACTACAAGCTTAATTAAAAAAAAAATCCGGGCTGAACTTTACAAAGATTTAAACAATATTGATCCAGATGACTTGCGACCTAATCAAATTGGTCAAAGGTTTATTTTGCCATCTTTATTTACTGGTAGTCCTAGACATATGTTTGAAATCTTTCAAGATTCAATGGCTATCACGCGATACAACCAGCGCCCAGATATTTTTCTCACTATGACTGCAAATCCCAATTGGCCAGAAATTACTTCAGCATTATTACCACACCAAAAAGCTATTGATCGTCCAGATTTGATTGCCCGTGTTTTTGAGCTAAAAAGAAAGTGTTTGATGAAGAAGATAGAGACAAACAAAGTGTTCGGTAATAAAGTTGCACATGTTTTTAATATTGAATTCCAAAAACGAGGCCTACCACATATGCATGCGCTTCTCTTTCTTAAAGGTCCAGACAAAATTTGAGCATGTGCTAAAGTAGACAAATTAGTTTGTGCAGAATTTTCAGATCCAAAAGATGATCCTACACTTTTTGAAACTGTCAAGTGTTGCATGGTACATGGACCATGTGGTGCTCAAAATCCCCAAGCACCATGTATGGAAAATGGTAGATGTACTAAGAAATACCGTCAAGCCTTTGAAGAATCAACAACTATGGACCAAGATGGATATCCAATCTATCGTCGTCGCAATAGTGGTAAAGTATATGCTGTGAGAGGACAAGAAGTTGATAACAGGGATATGGTACCATACAATGCATATCTTTTTAAACGGTTCAACTGTCATATAAATGTAGAAGTTTGTGCTGGAGTGAGATGTGTTAAGTATATACATAAGTATATTTACAAGGGTTATGATCCCACAACAATGGTTTTGGGATTGATTAATGAGATCCAACAATATCTTGATGCGAGGTATATTGGACCACCAGAAGCTGCTTGGCGAATATTCAATCATCATTTGCATGCAGAGATGCCAACAGTTGTTCGCTTGGTACTTCATCTACCTGGAATACATCGTGTTCTTTTCAATCCTAATTACTCATTGGAAATGATTCTTTCTAGAGCTGCATAACAAAAATCGACTCTTACTGGCTTTTTTGATTATTGTGCTTCCAATGAAAATGAATGCCAATTCACTTACCAAGAATTTCTGCAACATTTTGTTTGGCTCAAGTCAGAACATAGATGGAAACCAAGAGAACATGGATATGCAATTGGTAGAATGTACTTTGCTAGCCCTAACTGTGGTGAAAGATTTTATCTGCGTTTGTTGTTAACTGTTGTCAAAGGGCCAAGATCGTTTCAATGTTTACGTACAATTAACAATGTTTTGCATGAGACATTTAAATCAGTATGTGTTGCAAGAGGACTCTTAGAAGATGATAAAGAATGGATACAGTGCCTGAAAGAGGCTGCAGTTATGAAAATCGGATATCAATTGAGGAGATTGTTTTGCATTATTCTGACCCAATGTTTTCCACTACAACCACATGCGTTATAGAATCAATTTTCAATGCATATCTGTGATGATCTTGCACATAAGCTTCGCACATTGTTTGCCATTTCTAACCCAACTGAGGCTCAAATTGAAGATTATGGTTTGTATCTTTTGAATCAAATGCTTCAAGAATCAGGAAAGAGTTTAATTGACTTCCCGCCCATGCCACAACCTACAGCAAATTGGAGTGCAACAGTTGGTAACCGATTGATATTCGAACATCAACAACTACATAATGAGGCACAACAGACAGATGTGCAAATTACTATTGATCGCCTAAATAATGGACAACGATGAATCCTAGGAGGACTCTTTCTTTTTGAATGGGGGTGCCGGAATCGAAAAAATATTTTTGTATAATACGATTGCATTAAAATGTCGCAGCCTTGGCCATATTGTTGTTACCGTGGCTTCATCTGGAATTGCATCATTGTTATTAGTAGGAGGTTGCACTGCACATTCAATATTTTCCATTCCATTCCATTGGATGTCTTGGAAAATTCAGTTTGTGGGTTTAGCAAGCAATCATTACAGGCTGAATTGTTTAGAGAAACAAAACTCATAATTTGGGATGAAGTTCCTATGCAACATAGATATTGTGTTGAGGCGGTTGATCGCACACTTCGAGATATTTGTGATTGTGAAAAGCCATTTGGGGATATCACTGTTGTTCTTGGTGGAGACTTTCGACAAATCTTACCAGTTATAACCAAAGGAGTTTGTGAGCAAATTGTGAATGCATCATTGAGACACTCTTTTTTGTGGAAGGATCTACATGTTTTATCTTTAGATTTGAATATGCGCTTGAATCATGCAAACCTTGGAAATGCTATTGTTGCAAAATTCTTGACAGAGATAATACTCATTCGAACTTTGATTATACCATTTGAGGATACTTTGATTACACCATTTTTTTAAAATTTATTTTATTTTATTTATTAGGTTGGAACCAATCCACAAGAAACCATTAAAATTCCATCAACAATACACAAATGCCAGGATCTAAAGGAATTACTCTCAGCAGTTTATCCACAATTGGATGTGGCAGATACATCAACCCCATCATTCTTAACGGAACGTACAATTCTTTCTGCACGAAATGATGATGTCAGTGCTATCAATATTGCTGCGTTGAATATTTTTCCAGGGAATACATATACGTATCTTGCTGCAGATAAGATGGCTGAAGATGATGAAATTGATCCTTCCATTACAAACAGATATCCTAATGAGTTTTTAAATTCATTGGATCCTCCTGGGCTACCAACTTTTAAGGTAGAGTTGAAAGTGGGTTGTCCTATAATGTTATTAAGAAACATTGCACCGAAAGATGGACTGTGTAATGGCACAAGATTGATGGTATCAAGGTGCGACACTCGCATAATTGAAGCTCGAATCTTAACTGGAGAGAAGTTTGGCAATTTGGCATTTATACCAAGGATATCATTGACTCCGTCTTCTGCAGAAATGCCTTTCCGAATGACAAGACGTCAATTTCCAGTTCGATTGGCATACGCTTTGACCATTAACAAATCTCAAGGACAATCTGTGAAATTTGTTGGGGTTGATTTGCGTACACCTGTTTTTAGTCATGGGCAACTATACGTGGCAGTATCTAGATGCACATCTTTTGATCGTATAAGTATCCTCCTCCCTAACGATGAGCCAGATTCCACTACAAATATTGTTTACCCTGAAGTTTTGTTATGAAGACCTTTCATAAATTGATGAGACAACTCAACTCTCGCTCGAGCGACCAACTCCTCGCTCGAGCGAAGGTCCAAAAATCTGGGCAGCAACACTAGGCTCCCAAACACAACCAACTTGTAACAAACCTGCCTAACACATCCTATAACTCAATAAACAAAGTAAAGAGGATGCAAACTAGATAATAAACAACTACCAACACCCACGGACACATGTCCGGATCACTGTACAACAAGGGTAAACCCGGGATCGCTATATTATCCATGGGGAATTGCAACATTGAACAGGATCACTTCTACCACAGCCAGGTTAGGATGCGACTTATGCTCAGTTGTACATTTATGATCCTGATTCAGCTTTAGAAGTTCGAAATCGTAGAAATCCTCACTTACGAAGGGATGTTCTCAAAACTATTCAAGATAGTTTGTTGCAAGTTAATGCATTTGTAGACAAATTTCGCCAGGCTCATGCAATTTTGAATCAATTAGCCTTCACTGGACAAAATCTACCTGCTCATCTTCACTACAGTTCAGCAACAAACCGACGACAGTATAACCTACCAACTGCTGATGAGATTGTAATTGTAATACCAGGTGATGGAACCGAGGTTACTGGAATGAGAGATGTTGTTTTACATCTACAGGGAAAAAAAAAACTGATGCAAATTAATGAATGCCACCCAGCGTATTTGCCATTGCATTATGTTATTATTCCCATATGGTGAGCTCGGATGGGAACCTGAGTTAAAATTGTGGGACGTTAAACATGATCGGCCTTCAACTGATCGACTTACTCAAATGGATTTTTATAGTTATCGTTTGTTTGAGCGACCTATAGAGTATTCAACAATTTTGAAAGGTGGAAAACTATTCCAAGAGTTTTTGGTAGATGCTTGGGCTGCAACTGAGCAAAATCGATTGACATACTACAAGCTTAATCAAAAAAAAAAAAATTCGGGCTGAACTTTACAAAGATTTAAGCGATATTGATCCAGATGACTTGCGACCTAATCAAATTGGTCAAAGGTTTATTTTGCCATCTTCATTTACTAGTAGTCCTAGACATATGTTTGAAATCTTTCAAGATTCAATGGCTATCACGCGATACAACCAGCGCCCAGATATTTTTCTCACTATGACTGCAAATCCCAATTGGCTAGAAATTACTTCAGCATTATTACCACACCAAAAAGCTATTGATCGTCCGAATTTGATTGCCCGTGTTTTTGAGCTAAAAAGAAAGTGTTTGATGAAGAAGATAGAGACAAACAAAGTGTTCAGTAATAAAGTTGCACATGTTTTTACAATTGAATTCCAAAAACGAGGCCTACCACATGTGCATGCGCTTCTCTTTCTTAAAGGTCCAGACAAAATTCGAACATGTGCTAAAGTAGACAAATTAGTTTGTGTAGAATTTTCAGATCCAAAAGATGATCCTACACTTTTTGAAACTGTCAAGTGTTGCATGGTACATGGACCATGTGGTGCTCAAAATCCCCAAGCACCATGTATGGAAAATGGTAGATGTACTAAGAAATACCGTCGAGCCTTTGAAGGATCAACAACTATGGACCAAGATGGATATCCAATCTATCGTCGTCGCAATAGTGGTCAAGTATATACTGTGAGAGGACAGGAAGTTGATAACAGGGATGTGGTACCATACAATGCATATCTTTTTAAACGGTTCAACTGTCATATAAATGTAGAAGTTTGTGCTGGAGTGAGATGTGTTAAGTATATACATAAGTATATTTACAAGGGTTATGATCCCACAACAATGGTTTTGGGATTGATTAATGAGATCTAACAATATCTTGATGCGAGGTATATTGGACCACCAGAAGCTGCTTGGCGAATATTCAATCATCATTTGCATGCAGAGATGCTAACAGTTGTTCGCTTGGCACTTCATCTACCTGGAATGCATCGTGTTCTTTTCAATCCTAATGACTCATTGGAAATGATTCTTTCTAGAGCTGCACAACAAAAATCGACTCTTACTGGTTTTTTTGATTATTGTGCTTCCAATGAAAATGAATGCCAATTCACTTACCAAGAATTTCCGCAACATTTTGTTTGGCTCAAGTCAGAACATAGATGGAAACCAAGAGAACATGGATATGCAATTGGTAGAATGTACTTTGCTAGCCCTAACTGTGGTGAAAGATTTTATCTGCGTTTGTTGTTAACTATTGTCAAAGGGCCAAGATCGTTTCAATGTTTACGTACAGTTAACAATGTTTTGCATGAGACGTTTAAATCAGTATGTGTTGCAAGAGGACTCTTAGAAGATGATAAAGAATGGATACAGTGCTTGAAAGCGGCTGCAGTTATGAAAACCGGATATCAATTGAGGAGATTGTTTTGTATTATTCTGACCCAATGCTTTCCACTACAACCACATGCGTTATGGAATCAATTTTCAATGCATATCTGTGATGATCTTGCACATAAGCTTCGCACATTGTTTGCCATTTCTAACCCAACTGAGGCTTAAATTGAAGATTATGGTTTGTATCTTTTGAATCAAATGCTTCAAGAATCAGGAAAGAGTTTAATTGACTTCCCGCCCATGCCACAACCTACAGCAAATTGGAGTGCAACAGTTGGTAACCGATTGATATTCGAACATCGACAACTACATAATGAGGCACAACAGACATATGTGCAAATTACTATTGATCGCCTCAATAATGGACAACGAACTGCTTATAACACAATCACTTCTTCAGTCTTTGAAAGTAAAGGGACTATTTTTTTTTTGAATGGCGGTGCCAGAACAGGGAAAACATTTTTGTACAATACAATTGCATTAAAATGTCGCAGCCTTGGCCATATTGTTGTTACCGTGGCTTCATCTGGAATTGCATCATTGCTATTAGTAGGAGGTCGCACTGCACATTCAACATTTTCCATTCCATTGGATGTCTTGAAAAATTCAGTTTGTGGATTTAGCAAGCAATCATTACAGGCTGAATTGTTTAGAGAAACAAAACTCATAATTTGGGATGAAGTTCCTATGCAACATAGACATTGTGTTGAGGCGGTTGATCACACACTTGGAGATATTTGTGATTGTGAAAAGCCATTTGGGGATATCACTGTTGTTCTTGGTGGAGACTTTCGACAAATCTTACCAGTTATAACCAAAGGAGTTTGTGAGCAAATTGTGAATGCATCATTGAGACACTCTTTTTTGTGGAAGGATCTACATGCTTTATCTTTAGATTTGAATATGCGCTTGAATCATGCAAACCTTGGAAATGCTATTTTTGCAAAATTCTTGACAGAGATAATACTCATTCGAACTTTGATTATACCATTTGAGGATACTTTGATTACACCATTTTTTTAAATTTATTTTATTTTATTTATTAGGTTGGAACCAATCCACAAGAAATCATTAAAATTCCATCAACAATACACAAATGCCAGGATCTAAAGGAATTACTCTCAGCAGTTTATCCACAATTGGATGTGGCAGATACATCAACCCCATCATTCTTAACGGAACGTACAATTCTTTCTGCACGAAATGATGATGTCAGTGCTATCAATATTGCTGCGTTGAATATTTTTCCAGGGAATACATATACGTATCTTGCTGCAGATAAGATGGTTGAAGATGATGAAATTGATCATTCCATTACAAACAGATATCCTAATGAGTTTTTAAATTCATTGGATCCTCCTGGGCTACCAACTTTTAAGGTAGAGTTGAAAGTGGGTTATCCTATAATGTTATTAAGAAACATTGCACCGAAAGATGGACTGTGTAATGGCACAAGATTGATGGTATCAAGGTGCGACACTCGCATAATTGAAGCTCGAATCTTAACTGGAGAGAAGTTTGGCAATTTGGCATTTATACCAAGGATATCATTGACTCCGTCTTCTGCAGAAATGCCTTTACGAATGACAAGACGTCAATTTCCAGTTTGATTGGCATACGCTTTGACCATTAACAAATCTCAAGGACAATCTGTGAAATTTGTTGGGGTTGATTTGCATACACTTGTTTTTAGTCATAGGCAGCTATACGTGGCATTATCCAGATGCATATCTTTCGATCGTATAAGTATCCTCCTCCCTAATGATGAGCCAGATTCCACTACAAATATTGTTTACCCTGAAGTTTTGTTATGAAGACCTTTCATAAATTGATGAGACGTTCGTAAGAATTGTGGGAAAGAACAAATTTGAAGACATTATCAAACACATATTTTTGTAAAGTATATACATTTTGTAAAGCAGACGATAGCTATGACCCACTTTTTGTAAAGCTTTCCACCTATGTGGACTTTGTTGCATTTCAAATATTTTTGTGAAGCCTTTTATTCCCCTATATTTTTGCATTTCCAGTATAACTAAGTTTGATTTAAGAGTGCTGACTTGATCTTTTACAATTGATTTATTACTTTGGACATGTCAGTTGTCACTACTTTGTATACACTTTTTTTTTCCCCTCTTTTTGTATAAAATTATGTTCTCTTTTATTTTCATAGGATGATGGAGATTTGCACCAAACTGTTATATGGGCTCTCTTTACTCATCTTCTTTGAGAAAATTACAAATCAATGAGTTTTTAAATATTTTGTGAAGTTATCACCTATTTATAATTTTTCTTATTTAATTTACTCTTCTTACTATACATTTTCTTTCAAGTATTGATACTAGCAATACTTGATGGCTATTAGATGACTTTAAAATCTTTTTAATTTGACTATTTTGTAAAGCAACAATTTGTATTCTATAGTTGATGTAATTGATGGTTTTCACATTAATTTGACAAACCAGATGAGTTACAGGAATTATTTTTTTTACCATTTATTGTTGGGATGCTATGCCATGGAGTTGATTTCTTCTTCATGATATGATGCATTTAGTTTTTCAATGCTTTCCGTATCTTGATTGGGAAATTATTTCAAAATATTTGATTTCCGTATCTTAATTTGTAAACAATTTCTAAAGACTACTATTTGCGAGGTTATGGTATTTATATTCTGTGTATTATATTATTTCAATCAGATATTTGTGATTCGGGGTACTATGACACTCACCAATGTATTAGGTATTAGCCACAAACTAATGGGAGAAGTGCTGACTTGAACTTTTATTAGGTGCTACAGACTCTACAAATTTTAATATGATATGTACAAATTACAACTACATTTTAATCTCAATATTATTTACACCGTGCCTTTAGGCACGGGCATACACTAGTATATTATAAGCATAAATTGTATTAATATTTGACATAAACTCTCAAAATATAAAAGAATCATAAGCATTCCTCATAAGTTGTACCGAATAATAGCACTTGAAAATACAAGATCTATTAATTTTGGAATGAGTCATATGAGAATTAAGGAACAAATTATTGCTCCAGTTTTAGTGTTTGATATGAAGGGAAATGAAAGTATAAATAAATAAATATATATATATATATATATAGTGAATGGAAAATGAGTTGATTTGAAGAGAAAACATTTTTCACTTCTCAAACTGAAAAAAAAAAAAAAACATTTGAATTGAATAATACAAACTAAAACTAGAGTCTTACCAAGACAACCATCATTCTCACTACAATCACCAATATCAACATGTTTTAAGGACACAATCAAACACAAGAAAATATTATTTTATAAAAAATTATTTTTTTTAAATTTTTTTCATAAAAATTATTTTATATCAAAATAAAAGGAATTTACAATTCTCAAAATGTAAATTTATATTCCAAGGCTAATTAATATAACTATAAACGCCCAAGTAAATTTTATTGTTATGGGGTTCGAAGTTTGGTTTGGAGTTCAATTTACATGTGTATTATATCTATTCTACTGAATTAAGCTTATTTTAAACAACTTCAAAATGGACTTGCTTTAATTTACTCGGTTGTTATTGACCTTGTACGAACGCGAAATAATATTTTTCGTATAATTTTGTTGATTAAGTTTTCGCTCCTCCAAACGTCGTCGTTCAATCACTTGAAAACACAAACGTGAGCTAGCCGGCGAGTGTGTGCCGGAAACCCTCCGATGCCTGAGTCAGCTTTGACAAAAGACAAAACATTCTGAGAATTCGAAAGTAAGAATTGCAATATCTGGAAATAGGTTCTGGCATATTCTTCATGGCACAATCCTATTAAGACTCTATCTCTCCTTCGCAGAGTCCTCCTACGAGTCACATTCCTAAAGAATAATGCTTATCCGTAGAACACTCCTCCTCACTGCTAGCCAAGTGAGATGGCAACACTCTACTCGACTATCGATAACTAACCGAGTTACTTTTACTCCGTTCTGCCTCTGGCCGAACTGTGCATACCTTGTCTGCCTAATGGTACTTCACTGAGCTACAGCTAGCTCGACTTTCTTCCCCTAGATAGTCAATCTAGTACCTGGGCCTGTCTATGGATCATACATGGATAGCTAGTTCCAAGCCTTAACAACCCATCATTGACCGGCCTATTACAGGCTCAACCCAAGACCGTCCTATCTAAGCTCTTATCTCGGCCCATTGTGCAACCCAATCTCCAAAGAGGATCCTACCTGGCTTGGCCCAATTTATCTATACAAATTACCCTCTTAGACCTGTAAATTCTTATTGGAACTATGAGATTCTATGTGGTGCTAATTGAATGAGTAAAGACGAAAACTAACAAGATTATTAGAAAAGGGGATCCAGCAAGCAAGGTACATATGTATTTTACTTCCTTAAAAAAAAAAAAAAAACTTTTGTTTTGAATTAAATTTGATAATTTATTTATGAGAAACGCTCGAACCCCATTGAGAGGGTGATTTATACTCCGGCGTTGGGCCGAGGTATAAACCGAACAGGTTTGGGGCCCAGCAGAGCAGTGGGCCGAGATGATCGACTGCTCACCCGGAGATGGGCTACCAGAACTTGGGCCGGGCAGAGTTTGGACTATGTGCTGCCCCGAACCGTGCAGAAGGTGCTCGGCCAGGAAGTGACCGGTCAGACCAGGATGCTCGGTCTGAGAATTGTCGAGATCAGACAGACCGAGAGGCCGGCGCTCGGAAAGGCGCGGTCAGCCGAGGTAGTTGACTGATCGGCGAGAAGACCGACCAAAGGAGGATCCCGGGCTAAGCTTTGCCGAGATGCCGCCTAGCCCAGTCCTTCATTCGGTTATCCGGTCGGGCGCTTAAGGTATGAAGCATGGTATGACCGAGGTAGGGCAGCTCGGCTGCCGAGCTCCAGCTATGCTGGCAGGCAGTTGAGAGCAGGTGATGAACGGCATGGTTTAAGCTGACAGATGGGATAGCAGAGCCACGTGTCAGGAGATGACAGGGAGTGGGTATGGGGCGCAGAAGGTATATAAGCCTGTCTGCGCCCCCCATGCGGAACACACGAACACTCTGTAAGGAATTTTTTACACTCAAACACTCTCTCCCTTCTCTCTATTCCCCCTAAGGTGTGTGCTAATTTGACCGTCGGAGGGTGTTTCCGGCCACACACCGCCGGGTAGCTCACCATTATTTGCTCGCAGGTGATCGGATATCGACGGAGCTCGGAAGAAAGGAATACGGGCACGCCGGAATATTTGCTCCCCGTACACCCATAATTTTAAATTTATAAATCCACTCATAATGATTTGGCAAAAGAATTGAGTTTTATGTCATTGAGTGTATGACAAATAAAAAACAGACCCTATCATATCACATCAATATGGAAAATGTCTCGTAACTCAAATTTTGTGGCTCAAAAGTGGCTCACTAACAAGATTATTAGAAAAGGGGATCCAGCAAGCAAGGTACATATGTATTTTACTTCCTTAAAAAAAAAAAAAAAACTTTTGTTTTGAATTAAATTTGATCATTTATTTATGAGAAACGCTCGAACCCCATAATTTTAAATTTATAAATCCACTCATAATGATTTGGCAAAAGAATTGAGTTTTATGTCATTGAGTGTATGACAAATAAAAAACTGACCCTATCATATCACATCAATATAGGCCAAATTAGATTTTGTTTTTTTTTTTATATCTCAATTTTTTATTTATTTATTTAGGGACATTTTGGGAAGATGGATATAAATCAACTTTTTCTAGCGAAAAGTCATTTGAGATGATAGATATAAGCCAGATTTTGAAATTATCGAAATATCATATTATAATAATTTTCAAAAATATGCATGAGGGTAAAATAGAAATTTTACAATTTTAACAAAGGATATGACATCATATTATAATAATGTTTAAAAAAGCGAAAAAAAAAAGGAAGAAAAGCTGCTTATCAACACTTCCTAAATACATTTGTGAAAAAGTAAAAAAACAATTATTTATTTCCACCAACCCAAAACACCCCCTAGTGATGAATCCATGAATTATGCACAAACTATATGGTGAAAAAGCAGGACAAAAGTATTTGTTTTTTTCTTCTTTTTTTTTTCCAAGTGTTTATTAAATTATTAGATAAATGTCAATGTCAATGAGGTTGGTGGCCAAGAGGTGGTAAGATATTTTTCCAAGCAATAAGGTGTCATTATAATTGACTATTATTTGTTGAGTGAGTTGGTAAGATGTTACTCTCTATTGTCAAATATTCATGTTGAAGCCCCTTTATTTTATTTGCAGCAAATTATATTAATAGTGTTTATATTATATTATTTTAGTTTTTATATTTTAATTGATTTAATTTTATTTATTAATTTTAAATTTTATATCAATTTAATCTAATTAACAAAGTCAGTGAGATTTTTTATAAGAAATTATTTATGAGTTGATTGAGATTGCTTCATTGAGTTCATACAATTTGTAATTTTATTCTAAAAATATGACACACGCGACTCATGTATGAATTTTTCGTTTAAAAAAATGTTAACAATTGTAAACAGTTTAATTAAATTAAGATAAAATCATAAATTCAAAATAAAATTGAGTCAATTAAAATTATAGAGATCAAAATAAAATATAAGAATCAAAAGTACAAAAACTACTTATATAATTTATTTATTCTTTTGTTTATTTATTTATTTAGAACTTCTATTGTTTACTTAAAAATGACAGCAGTGGGTGACTTACAAAATAGTTTTATGTAACATGTCTTTTTAGTGTACAAATAAAATAAAAAGCAATAATAATAATTGGTCAAGTACACCACCACCAACTAAACTAAAGTAGCATATTTTATTTTTTTTCTTTTCCCACCCATCCACAACGAAAAAAAAACGTATTGCACCATTGATGGAGAGCTATTGCCCAAACAATCAGCAGCAATTTTTTTCTTTCCAAAGGCAACCAAAAATAAAAGATTTTAAATGATTGTAAAAAAAATACAAAATAGAAATATTTAATGATGTCATCCCCCACCTCCACCCAACCCCTAAAAAAAATAAAAAATAAAAAATAAAAAATTGTTGAGAAAAGAATAACATCTTTAGTCTTATATATTTACAATTTTGATAGAGAACTCTAATAGAACTGCTCTAAAAACAGCTCTAGTGAGCTGGCACTACACCAAAAAATATAAAAATATAAAAAAAGAGGTAAAAGACAAAACATAAAGAGAAAAAAAACAATTTAATACTTATTTAGAGCTTCTCTTTTAGAGGTCTCAACCATTTTTCATATATTTACCATGTTAATCATTACGTTGAAGCAAAATTCAACTTTATTTATATTAAAAAAAAAATAAGAAAGAAAAAAATTAAAAATTAAAATTAATTTATATTTATATTTCATTCACATTGTATTTTCTTTTTTCAAATCTTTATCCAAATTCATTATCTAAATGCAACATTAAAAAAATACATAAACGTAACTTATGTAATATAACACAATATTTCATAACAAATACCCAAGAAGTCAGACATTTACGTCACATCATTCATAATATAATTATGATATTCTTAATATAATCACAATAGTTCATAATTTTCACTTTAAACTATTTTCAAATCATAAATTTAAATAGAGATTTGAAAAGAAAAAGAAAAAGAGAAAGAGAGAGAAAAACACTTAAATTTCATTCATGTCACATTCTCTTTAACTTTTCTCATTCCCTTTTCAAGTCTTTAACCAAATTCACGAAGCAAAGCCAACATAAATGAAATAAAAGCTATTTTATTTTCCCATTTGCTTTTGTTTTTTAAATTTCTATCTAAATTCATGATCCAAACACAACAAAAGAACGTGCACACCATAGATTCACCATTAATCTGTTTTGTGACCTTAACCAGCCAACCCCTTTCATTCCTGTTTTATCGTCCAATTTGTTCATGCGTCATGTATAAACATAAAATTCATATAGGAAACTTATACATCATGACTTGACTCAGTTTTGAGTCTTATCACTTTAGACAAAAAAGCCCATTGAGATTCATATAATTACACAAATAGCACCGCCCGCCATCATTCTGGTGCAATATTCTGCATAAAAATTCTGACGGAATAAACGAAACTATTACACGACTTCAATGGGAACAGGAACAGCCGGGTTCTTTGCCGCCACCAGAAGCCAACTTGTAACTAACATCCCAGGTGTCCACAGGAGCTGCTTGGGCATGAGGGACATGACGAGGATGCTTCTCTCTCTTGTCCCCTTTTATCTGCTTCAATGCATGCTTGAGGGCTGGCAACAGAGCATCCATGCACTCCGCTACTGCATTTGGATTCCCCGGCATGTTGATGATCTAAAACATAACAGTAACATACAAGAAACACATTGTGAGAAGTCAATTCCAGCAAACAGAGTCACAGGAAACTAAATTCCAGATCATTGTATTGAATTTTTATTAAAAAACTAAATTGAAAATATATATCATAGTCACACATAGGCCCATATGATTTCTGTTAGTATATCAAGATCTCGTGGGTCCATCTATTTTATTCTTTCCTTTCTTTCCTTCTTTATTCAGTGAGACATGCGACCTTTGTCCCAACCAGGACTTGGAACCCTACATGTCAACTTCTAAGGCTGGCAAACTAACATCTGGCTCTGGGGGATATTGAGGGATCACCTGTCACTCCGGTTGAAATTCCAACAGCAATTGTTTGATAAGATTTTTGCAATAAACAATTTATTTATTTACCCACAAAAGCCAACTAATTCTATATATGGGATTTGAAAGGGACCATTTCCTTCCTTTAGAATTAAAATTCACCTATTCCACAATAACTACATGGAATTTCAGAAAACGATGTTACCAATGTCTTCATGTTGACTCCATTTTACGAAAAGCTTTCACGTCCCTTATTCAATGTGCTATCCCAAAGAATATATTTGTGCTTCCATTTTGAAAAAAAATAATGCTATATGTATCAATTAGTATACTAACTATTGTATCAATTGATGATGTGGCATAATTTAAGAGGTTTTCTATATTTGTAATGCGATTAATAAGTGGAGTCAATAATAATGTCATAACTAGTGTTAGTACACTAGTTAGTTCACTAATTGGTGCATGTAGCATTACCGTTTTGAAAATAGATAAATCCATTTCTAAAACAAGTCCTATCTGCCCACTTAAAAAGACCAATAACCAGTGTCCATCCCATTAGATGTGCCGTGCTGTTAGGGGTGAAATATGTACAGTGACTGACCTCCAACATTATTAACTACTCAGACCTGCATGTTCACACTAAACTAAACACCAAGGCCTTACAATTGCACCAGGCAAAAACATATCAAATCAAGCACAAATACCTGCAACATAAACTGATAAGTTTTACACGTTGCTTATATTTGTTTCTAACTTTCAACATGATCATAAACGGTTATTAGCATACAGATATTTATTAAATTTTATATTTATATCAACCTGCATGAATCCATACATTGCTTGTGATGGGATACAGGAAAATCAGGGGTTATATTTTAAAATTTTTCCACTAATATTCAAAAAAATAAAATAAAATTGGAATGAGAATCTTTGGCCTTACCAATGTTGATCCTCTTATTCCAGCTGCAGCGCGTGAGAGCATAGCAAATGGTGTCACCTGTTTACGAAATGTTCAAGAAGATAATGAAAATAAAGATCTTGGCAATTGAAACATAAGAACCATCAATGATAAAGCAGCAACCAATGTCTAATAAGATGATAAAAGGCAAGTTTAGATAACAAATTGTACTAGTGACCCTACTTTTGATCAGTTATTAGGATCCCAATCTATTAATAAGTCAAGCAATAGTCATATCTATAATACAAAAGACCATGTGATTGTCATGTGAATAACTTACCCAAAAAAAAAAAAAGTATTAATATTGACTACTTACCCAAAAAACAAAAGTACTACTATTGACTCTTAATTCATTAGGGCAACCTTGGGTTGATATTTCAGCTGTTGATATATTTTTAACAGCTGGCCCCGGTATATATTATATCTCATATTTTCAGAAAACTAATAGAAGTCAGCCCTGGGCTAAGAAACCCTAAAATCTCAATTATCTTTTGTTCCCACTTCAATTACTTTGCTATCTTGCTCTCTTTTGATTATGATTGTTGGAACTCCTTTAAGGATTAAACTTTTACCTATTGCAACAACCAGGTTGCTAATTCTGCCATCTTGCTGCATCACAGAAGACCATGTGGAGGTCTCTATAGAGTAGTCTTGCCCCAGAGCGGTAGTTTAGTATTATGCTTACAGTAAGAAAAAGAAATGCTTCACATCCAGGTAATGCTGTAGTTTTTTTTTGGTCTCGGTAATACTATAGTTCAACCCACCTTAAATTGGATCATAGAAACATTTCTCCTAGAAGATCACAATCTGTTCATTAATGGATCGACTCTAAAGCTCACAAAGGTTTTTGCATCAATCATAAATTGATGTCAATAACATTTCAAGTATGTAAATCTTTATTGTTTGCATATGTTAAGATGAATGACTTACTATACTTGAACCAAAAAACACCTTCCTGAATGCACACACGAAGGAATATTCAACAAATATAAGAAGCAATTTATGAAAATAAAAGATGGGAAAACGAAAACAACATGCAGTTTTGTTTTATGCAAGCACAAATGCATTAAGAATTAGATGGTAAAACAAACAATAAATTTCAGATAGGAGAAAATTCCATAAACATTAGTGCATATGTCATTTTAATTTTGAATAAATGCATTTCATTTTCAGATCAACAAAGTTTAACCACGAAGTTTAACTTCAAAACCTTAATAACTAGAAAGTTTCCAGATTTTAAAATTCACTAGTCATTACGGCGTATATCCACTTTAAATAAATTTTAGTTCAAAACCAGTTCGATGTTTAAACTTTTCACATGATGCATATATTTGAGCACAACTACAAAACAAAATACACACATCTAGGGCTGCAAATGAATCGAACTGTTCACGAATAGGCTTGGCTTGGCTTGGCTCGGCTCGGCTCAGCTCGTTTAGTAAACAAGCCGAGCTCAAGCTCGAATATTAGGCTCATTTATCTTTATTTAAATTATATAATAAATATATTATTTATATATTAAATAATATAAATAATATTAAAAAAAATCTTATCGAGCCGAGTTCGAGCCCAGTTACTTATCAAGTTGAGCTTAATCTCAATAAACGAGTTCAATAAGCAAACAAGCCGAGCTCGAGCTCAACAAAGCTTGGCTCATTTGCAGCCCTACACACAACGTATGCAAGAGACATGGGTAATATTTGGTTTACTAGAATGGAATGGAATGTAACGATCATTCCATCAAAATGTCCATTCCCATGTTTGGTTGATTAAAAAAATAATAAAAAATACATTGCAAATGGAATTATCATTCAAGAATGATCATTCCATATGGAAGCTTAAGGAATGACTATTCCATTCCATCTCATTCTATTGAACCAAATAGAGCAATTTAGAAAGCTCTTCTTACCTTCAGACTCTCTTGCGTCATGACATAAAGAAGACCAGGAGTTTCTTTCTCTATCACTTCTTTTGTTGCTTCAGGGGTAACATCTCTTGGGGTGAAACCAGTACCACCTAGGGAAAAGGGAAAGGACATACTTAATAGCTTTAGCCTATATTTCCTACTCAACAAGAAAAATGGTTCTTGAATTATAGAACCTCACCAAGGGTAAGAATGAGATCCACTTTGTCAACATCACTCCATCTCTGCAAAACATCCTTTATCTGAGGCACATCATCTGGAACCACAGCTGTTGCAACTACCTTTGCTCCTCCTAATCTTTCTGATGAGGAATTAACCACAGAAACTGCCCTCGGACCACTACAGGTTCAAAAATTTCAAGAACCAGTTCAACTTTATGACACCATGATGCACAAAGTAGAAGTACTGTCCATATGTGAGGGATACTACGATCATAGCTAAATCAAAGAAATAAAATTGAACATTTAATAAAATGGACAAATTAAAAAAGTTATCATTGAAGGAATTATAAATTCTTTTGATGTTGAAAAAATTACATTTGGATATCTTTCGCTCCTAAAGAACTATTCAAGTCAGACAATGATGTTTAGAGTGATTACTTGTAGAGAAATATAAACAGACTGTGAAAAGGGTGAGCCGACACATCAACATTCTTCACAATCTTTGTGTAAAATTATGAATAAGAATGGAGAACAAAGATGATATGACAGCGCAAAAAAATCTTCAATCCATGGAAAAATATTAAGAGACAAGATAGCATGTTGGATGAGGTGGGGTGTGCGCGTGTGTGTGAGAAAGAGAAACAGAGACAGAGATAGAGAGAGAGTCTGAGAATGGAAAATGAGGAAAGAGAAAAAGCAGAGAAACATCATTGCAATATGACTCCTTATCCTCGTCTCTTTGAGGTGATAATTCTTTCTTCAATAGCTAGTCATTCAATCTTCCACGCAAGTTCAGCCAGTCCATTTTGTAACCCCAAAATTTAGAACCCTAGAAGGTAATTTTACTTTGTATTTCCACACTTAATACAAAATGGGAGAACAAAGTTTCCTCTTGTTTCCATGGAAATAGCCAAAACATCTCCATTTTCTAAGAGACCGAAATGAAACATTAGTGAAATAATGAAATTCAAAAATTCCCACTGAAAGAAAGCAACTCATTGAAACATAACGAAACATAGTGAACCAATAAGTTGCAACGACACGAATTTGGAATCTCTCATAAATGTTTTTATAATTTTTTAGGAAAAAGATAAAAGGCCTTATTTTATTATATTAATAAGAATTATTATTATAATATTAGTATAGTAATACTATTTACTTATCAAAAAAATAATTCTATAGAAATACATCTTAGTAAATTTTTTTATCTTATTTTGTTGGAATCTCACACTTGTGTCATAATATACACTTACATTGATAAATCAATTTATTTGACAATACTTCACAATTTTTTTATTCTTAGCAATATTTACATGTATTCCTTTATGCAGTGAATGAATCTAAAAATCTAATATGTTTAATTAATCAATTATTAGGCTTTTATACATCTAAATAAGTTTTAGTAATTCTTATGTCCTGTTTCAAAATTTCTCCGAAATGTTGACAAAATGTTTCTGAAACGTTTCCAAAATGTTTCTGTTTCCATGCTAGCCAAAACAACACATCAAAATGAAAATTTCATCCCAAGGCAATTTATTTTCCTCCCCCACCCTCCCTCCAATACAAACAACGAATTGATGAACATGTCAAACAATAAAGGTGGAAACAAAAAATTAATATCATTTTTAAGATGGAAAAGTCAAGTGGTGAAAAAGAACTTACTAGATTGTAATGATAACTAAGATGATGTATGGGAAATTATTACCCCAGCGATTGCGCTTGGGTAGTCAACAAAACAATAAGCCAATCCTTTCCTCCAAACAAAATTGAAAAAATTGAAAACCTAAGAGCATCTAAAAAAAGTAAAAACAACTAGAGGATTTCACTATAAGTCATAGTGTGGGCATATATTGGAAGAAGGTAGAGGTTGCAGAGTTCAAAACAGAAATTTGATGTAAAAGGATGAAGGTTCAAGTAAATCCAACTCTTTATAAACTTCTAGCTAATAAGCATACCAACAGTGTAGAAACCTATAAAATCTGTAAGAATTAGTGGATCCAAAATGCCAACAAGTAGCTTTTAAGGTATTAACAAGAAAACTCATTATGTCTTGTTAAAAATACTGTATTATTGATTGATATATTGATTGATATTGATTGATATATTCTGTCTATTACAAATGGTTCCTTATATAGATGTAGGTGTAGTGGGTTAGGTTTAGTGGAGTAGGTGAGGTGGTAGTAGTGTAGTGGGTTAGGTTTAGTGGAGTAGGTGAGGTGGTAGTGGTGGTAGGTTTATTGATAAATTTTAACATGTCTTATCACAAAAACATACATAACAAATTGCTAAATATGTGTTGCAAAGAACTCAGTACTTCCATGTTCTGCTTTGACAAGGAAAAATGTTACTTTGCTCTTCTACTGTAGCATCAATGAAGTGACCCATTGGGAATGACGATCCCAAAAGGTGTATCCTAATGCATTTAATTCAGAACCCAAACCTCTTGGTTCCAGCATCCATGCTTATAAGGAAGAGCGGTACTCATTTAATAATAACCCATCCATGTCAAATTTAAATTATCTATAATGCAGCCTTCATGATAATATAATCACCAATTACATAATTTGAAGTGCTACATTGTTATTATCGATAGATGTTGATTCTCTAAACAAGACTATGCAACTTTCAGCTGGTCCATTTTGTAACCCCCAAAGTTTAAAACCCTAGAAGATTTACTTTGTATTCCATACTACATAGCAGAGTGAGAAGCGATTTTTCCCCCTCTCCAATTATGTTGTACAATAAATGTCGAAAATAGAAAGTGAAAATCATTTAAGATAGAAAAATCAAGTAAAGAAAAACGACTACTAAATAGTAACAACGTCTACAGTCATGTAAAAAAAAAAAAACACCAAGGGAAGAGAGAGAAGGAAAACACAAACAGCAGCAATAAATCCTTCCAACCAGACAAACTGTAGAGTTGAACACAACACTGACTTCGGGCAGGTTCTTCCATCAATCTCCTGGCCCTTGCTTAACTCTTCATTCCGTAAACAACTCATTGGTTGATCTGATTGAACCCCAGACACGTGAGAGCTAGCCTGAGGAATGCTTGGTTCCCTAGCACTTCATGGGATGGACATTAGCAGTCCCCCTCCCTCCAATTTAACCCTACCTCACTCACTCAAGCCCACCAGCACAATAAAAGAATGAGGGGGCTAGGTACTCCCAACACGTCAAACACGGATACAAATGCGGACGAGGGTGAGGACACGAGACATGGTGATTTAAAAAAACAATGAGTACACGGACACGGTGGGGACAAGACAATAAAAAATTATTATATATATATATTTATTTTCTATGTAGGTTAATATTACATCCACAATAATCAAAATTAACACTAATTCAAGATCAAAAATTTTTAAAAAAAAAAAATTACTCTTAAGTTAACTCTTATTGTTTGTCTTTTTTTATTGATGTATTAATTATTTAAATCTAAGTAAAAATAATAAGCATTCAACATCCAACATCCATAAAAAACACTGGGGGGGAGGGAGGACAAGTTAGTGTGTCCCTTGAAAGCAAATTAATTAAATAAATACATGTCCCTGCAGTGTGCTTGCGTCCAAAACCGCTACAACACCTGTTTTGGAGTGTCAGTGCTTCATAGCACCCTAGCATAGCCTTCCCCAGCAGGGACATCCACAATAGATCCAATGCACTTTACAGGATCTCCACCTTTAATAGCGGTACCACTACCAAAGACAACAATCCCTACATTCTCATTCTCAAGATTCAACGTTATTCCTTTCACACTGCTAGCAAATTCAACCATCCCCAGCTTGAATCTCATTTAAGAGCATCCAAGAAAAAGGATTTCACAAAAAATCTTTTTTTTTTTTTTGATAAATGATTTCACAAGAAATCATAGTCTCTGCATAGGAGGAAGCCGAGGAATTTTGAGCGTACTGTCTCGTTAATAATGAAATGTGAGCTAAAATCAATCTCAATATACATGGCTTCCAGTAAAAGATTGATACATTTTCAATATCATTGACACTCATTTACCAAAAGAGAGAGAATACTGACCCGTCCACCAGCATGAAGACAGCTGAATCAAACAATCTCAACTTTGGGGTGATCATATTAAGATATTACATTTCAGCAGTAGAACGAAACACGACATAAGAGCATCATACAAACAAGGATAGTAGGAGTAGCATGCAGAAAATCATGATGAAATAAGAGGAAAAAATTACGAAGAGCATCATGAGAAAAGCACGACATAAGAGCATCATACAAACAAGGATATTATATTTTGCTAATGTAGACTGAACTTTTTACTTCAGATATATATAAAATTACTCCTTCTTCCTCTAAACCTATAAACCCTAACACTAAATTTCTTCATTATAAATTCCAACTTCCTTTATTATTATTATTATTCTATTTTTTTTGAGAAGTATCAAGTCCCAAATATATGAAGGAAGCATAAAAGCCCAAATCAAAATAATGATAAGTGATTCAATTAAAAAACAGCAATGTCAAGTTAGAATACCTCCGATCAGGCCCAGTCCCTGATGCAACTGTGTCACTCACTGTAAGGATGGCTACTCTAAACTCAGAACCTCGAGGATCATCTGCAGTTACTTCTTGTGATACACTTCCTTGGGTAGCACAACCTAAATCTAGCGATACTGAACTCTTGCTCACAGAACTGCTAAAATCAGAAATTAAAATGGCTATCACAGAATTTTCAGCAGAGATTACACGGTCTGATGCTGGCAGTTCTAACAAAGCATTTGCTGACTTCATACTTAAAAGCCGGCTACTCATCTGATGACCAGTGCTCTCAGCAACAAATCTGAAATCAATCAAGAAGTACAACAATATACATGATCTTCATGCCAGTGGAAGCAACAAACGTATTGTAGACTGCAAAGGGTTAATGAGAAGATACACCCAAAAAAACACAAGCCTTGCTAACAAGTGCCCTTGGGGCAGAAGAAGCAGACAAAAAAATTTAAGAACACGAGACACATTTCATTGAATTTAATGCACTTTTTATTGAAATCAATGCACTTTTTAACACTTCTATCTATTTTCAATACACTTTTTACCTTAATCCCAATGTTAAACAATGCCATAGCGGCACTCTTTAGCATTTGCCAAAAAACATAACACCAAGCCAGTATTTGAAACTATGTCGAACTCAACCCTAAAGTACTCTGGACCTGTTACCAAAAGGTAATGCCCTTGAACAGAGAATTAAACTCACCCTGGACTGCCAGATCCATCATTGACCTCCCATCTAATAATAGAACGATGAAATTCGGGACGAACAGGATCTGGTTTTATGGACTGCTTAAGACGAGCATGCACTCTGCCCAAGAAACAAGAGTAAAACTATTATATAATATCAAAAACATCAAACAAACATTTCAGTTTCATAGTAGGTGAAATAGTAAAGTTAAAGCAAGGAAATGGGGATGAAAAAGAAAATCATGAAAACAAAAAAACGGTGGTAACTTCTATAACCTTGGAAGGTGAGGGTTTGCCCATCCTGCAAGATAGCGAATGGCGGGGACCACAAAAAGATGGAAACAGACTAAACAGCTCACAGGATTTCCAGGTAACCCAAATGCAAGAATCTTCTTTGCTGTCTCATTGTTTGGTGAGTCAGGAATCATCTCAGAAAATGTCAGAGGCTTTCCGGGTTTCATGAGAACCTGAACAAAGAATGTCAAAGGAATGCAATTTAAGTCATATGTCTGCCTTCTACTGATTATTGAAGCATGAGAAGTGAGAACTATGTATTTGATGCAAAATCATATACGTAAATAGTAGTATTAAGAAAGCATTCTAAGATGCTTTGTGGTCAGTCAAGTTAGTGGTATTTTTGTCATTTCGAGCTTAGAAACTTTGGTAGTTCTAGTTGAGTCTAAGTCGGGTATTTTGGTATCTTTGGGGGCATTTTTTGTATTAAGGTCAAGTTTTGGTGGTCTTTTTCAAATTTTTTATTATTTAAAAATTTTTATGTAATTTTTTGTATGACTATGGGGTTGCACCAAGAATCAACCTTAAGTCCTTATCTTTTTACTTTAGTTATGGATAAATTGATAAGAAATATTCAAGATAATGTGCCATGGTATATGCTTTTTGCAGATGATATCGTGTTAGTAGATGAAACTAGAGAAGGAGTTAACACTAAGTTGGAGACTTAGAGAGAAGCACTAGAATCTAAAGGATTTAGGATAAGCAGAACTAAGACAGAGTACATAAAGTGTAATTTTAGTAACAGTAACTATGAAAATAGAGGAGAAGTGAAAATTAAGAATGAAGAACTACCTAAGAGTGCACATTTTCGTTATTTAGGATTGATTATTACAACGGCTGGGGAGATTGGAGCGGATGTAATCCATAGAATTAAAGCGAGGTAGCTTAAGTGGCGGAATGCGTTTGGGGTAGTATGCGATAAACGAGTACTCACTAGACTAAAAATGAAGTTCTATAGAATGGTTATTAGACCAGTGCTTTTGTTTGGGTTGGAATGTTGGGCAATGTAGAAACAACATGTAGATAAGATGAGTGTTGCTAAGATGAGGATGCTAAGGTGGATGTGTGGCAAGATGAGAAAAGATAAAGTTAGGAATGACTATATTCGAGAATGGTTTGTTGTTTGGGATGATCTAAATAAGTGTACTTTTTGACTTTTTACGAAAAGATATGTAGAAAAGTAGAGAAGTGGAGAAGTGATGTGACCCAAAAAAGATAAAAAAATAAAAAAATGTGCTTATATAGCACACCCCAAACAAGCTCAGAGAGAATAGATTCAGATGGTTTGGTCATCTACAATGGAGACCAACAGAGGTAGTAGTGAAGAGAAGTGATACAGTAACAGTAGATGAAAGTGTTAGGGAATGGGTAGATCTAGATTGACGTGGGCTAGTATAGTAAATAGACATATGAACCTCCTTAATTTGACTAACGAAATGGCCTTGGATAAAGTTGAGTGGAGAGGAAAGATTCATGTAGCCGACCCCATTTGATGGGATTTAAGGCTTGGTTTGGTTCATTTAAAAACTAGGTCCTTTCTATTTTACATCAAAGTTTTGGGGGGTGTTAGAGAGTTATTTGGTCTTTTGGGAGAGTTTGTATAAAGGGTGTTGATCTGTAGCAAAAACAGACTTTTGCTTAAGAAAATACAGTTTGGGCTGAGAGTTCCATACTAGCTAGGGTTGAAGAATTGGAGGCTTAAGTCATATGAGAATTTGATCCCACAGTACCTATTGATCCCTATGTCACTCACTACTATGTGGGCGAAGAGGCTAGCATGTAAGCTGTTTAAAGGAAGGCTGATCTGCATAGAAAGGGGACTTTTGCTGTAAAATATAAATTTGAGCTTAGAGCTCCATACCAGGCTGGGGTGGAAGAATTGGAGGCTTGGTTCTTGAGGATTGGATCCTGCAGCACACTGATTCCTCCATCACTCCTTGCTGCCCAAGTCTGGAAAAAGTCTGGAACAGCCCCCAGACTTCATATTTCACTTGGAGACTTGGAGTTAAAAAAGAAACATCACTTCGTGTCTTAATATTGGTTCCGGTAAATGTGTTAAGCTAGAATATTATATTTATTTGCTACCCCAAGTCTATTGGCCCTATAATATTACGTGACCTCAGCAAAGTACTTGTTCTAGTGATCCAATATCACATTGTAATGGTTGTTTATTATTAGATCCTGTTCCATTTCCTGAATTCAAAAGTCCAGGACTTCATTTTTTGTGTATATATGTCTATTTGCACCAATAGAACCCATATTACAATCACTTGAATCAAGAAACTAGGGTATAAATACATAGCATCTTGATGCTACGTACAAATTGCATCACAGGTTCTAAAAATACTAGGAGTCAGGAAACAAATTCCTTAAAAACAATAGAAAAACGTGTAAGTCGGCCACCATTGAAAATTGATCAGAAGAGGGCATCACTTTACCTTATGAAAATATAATTTCCCTCTCTTTTCAAGCAAAGGCTTGACAAAATCCCTGTCTCCCATAGAAACACCTCCCGAAGATAAAAGAATATCAATTCCAGCAGAAAAAGCACTATCCAAAATCCTCTTAATCTTTTCTTCATCATCAGGAGCTATACCAAGGTCAAGAACTTTGCACTGTTGCTGTACTGCAGCAGAAAGAAGCATTGCACGGTTGGAGTCTCTAATCTGCACAAGAAGATGATCATCTTATAAGAAAAACATGGGATTTAAAACCAAGCATATAATGGATGAAAAATAGACATAGTGAGTTAAAACCACTCTTTTTGCTGTCTTTAGTGGGTTTCTTATTCAGGCCAATATGAAAAAAATTTAGAAAGAAAAAAAAATATTCGGCAAAAAACATACTTAAACCAATGTCCCTTCAACAATTACAAATCAAATTGTTGACAAAACCTTGGGGAATTAGATTCAATAATTTAAAGTACACAAAAACATGCAAAATATCAAAAAGAGAGAGAAGAGCAGAAATCGTCTAATCATTTTCTGGAAGAAACCAAATTTATGATGAATAACACACACAGCTAAAATCGAGGAGCTTCAGAGCATGAGGTATATGCCCCATGCATGCCTCACACTGTGGTCTGACATGTTAGGCCTCAGATTAAGGGCTTTATAAACCTTTGACAATAGATAGTTCAACCACAACCCACCCACCCAAAAATAAAATAAAATAAAAGAAGTTAAAAGTAATATCATGACAAAAAAAGAAAGGAAAATAATAAAAGAAACACCTTAGAAAATACCATAACAACACTTTAAACGGCTTTCAAAATATTGAGATTTTGTTTTAGAGCCTTGTTCCATACAAACTTCAAATTTGAATATTTGATTTCTACTGTAATGCTTTTAGCCTTTTGTAGCGTCTTCACTAATTCATCACTTTTTGGTCCTCCACCGTACACTTTTTTTACGCAGCTCAAAAATCTTAATCCAAACTACTAGGGTCAAATCCCTTGGATCTACCTTCACCAGTCAGGCCTTTGTAAAGCCATTGTCCACTATAGACTCTCCCAAAGCCTGAATGTTTCAGTGAGGAATCCACTGCAGACATCTATACCAAAATCAAGCCAAGGCAACCACTGGTTCCCTCAATAACACAAAGTGGGTTATCCCTAAACATTACAGTACCTGGCCACGACTTAAACACCCAGTTGTTGGCTCTACAAGTTCATCTCCCGTGGAAAGCACAGCAATCGCTGGGGTAGGATATACCTGGATAACAGCATTAGCATTAGCATTAGCACTAGCAATCAATCTTTTGGGTATTTCTCCACACACTGAAATTTAGTGTTTGACCATAATTCAGCAATGCATAGTTTTGGTTCAACTAAAATGATCATGAAAATCAACCGACTAATAGGATTTTTTTTTTAATCCCTTAGAGGAGAGTGAAAGGAAACGATACTGATGTTCAAATTTAATAAAGGCCCATGAAAATAACCAATCCATCCATGGTGTCTTTTTCAAGTATTAAACCCAGGGAAAAAAAAAAGAAGAAAAAAGCCCTTTACTACCTTCACCATTGTAACACCCACAGTGGCAAGTAGGCCAATTTCAGCGGCACCTAATCGCTCTCCAGATTTCAGTACTACATCATCTTTCTTTATGTCACATCCCTGAACAAGAATATTCTACGTGAGCATTTTAAAATCAGCAATTAATAACATAAGTATCAGAGCATGCAGAACTGTGCAAGGCATGGTCAGAACAAGAAATTTAAGAGAGTGTGATTCATCAAAGGTGAATATTCTACATTCAGGTTATCATGCCATCACAGATGTAAAGTAATTATCTGCAAATGAAGCATTTGCAAATATTTAAGGTAATGGGTAGACCATGGGAGACCATCTACCAATTCAAATTCGGCACACAAAGAATCAGCGCATACTTTTAGAATATAAATTTCAGACTAGGTAAAACGAGTGATGCAGAATACTGTGACAGCAAGAAAGATACTACCAGAGGGGAGGAAAGGAGACATTAGAGAGAGAAAAGACAAGGTGGAGGGAAAGAAAAGACTTCAGAGATCAGAAGAGAGAGTATAAGAAAAACAAGGAACCATCCCAATTCAATATTCCAATTCTTCAAAATCCAAGTCATAGCATCCAAAATCATTACACTCTAAAGAGTCTAAACCCTTATGAAAATTTACCAAAAATAAGAATGACAATAACTAAATCCTAATTAATAAAACAAACCTAATAAATCTTAACTATTTGATGGATAGAAAGCAAGGTAAAAAAAAAAAATTAAATAGTGCAATTCGCATCTAATGCCTAGTCATTCCCCATCAATGAGTATCAGGCATGCAGAAGGATAGAAAACACGGTAAGAAAAAATAAATAAAACAATTAGTGCAATTGGTCCAAGGCCAATCATCCACTTTTGAGGTTTTCACTCTCTATTTCAGATGTAAAGTAATTCCCCACAGATGAAGCATTTGTAAATATCCACAGTAACAGGTAGACCATAGAAGTTGATCCACCAATTGCACTTTTCCATTGTAGTTTCAAGGAGGGGAGGTCTTGTGATTGCGCCATCTATTCAAAGCAAGAGTCCTCACATGATGCAAAATGAAAAAAACGGCACTTGCATGGTATTACGAAACCCAAAATACGATGGTGACAGTTAACAGGCCAATATGATCAGCTGATTCAAAACCTTAATTTCAGAATTCCACTTGACATATTCAGAAAAAGTTCCACCACAGAAAGGAACAAGTCATTGTGAAATAAAACAAATATTGCAAGGAACTGCTGTAGTCCTCTTCTGCAACCTTAATGTACTTCGGTCCCAACAAAATCAATACATTAATTTGGTGGGCGCAAGCTTAGGAAGGCAAAAAAAGAGATAGTAAACCTATTTCCTCTGTACGACCCTTGTGCATTTCACTGGATTTGGAGAAAAAAATATAAGTTATAGCTTGCAACTCCTGTAGTCCTCTTCTGCAACTTCAACGAACTCGGGTCCCAGCAAAAACAATACACGATTTTGTCGGTGTGAGCTCTACTTCGATGGCATTTCCTTACAAATCTCATCATCATGACTCCCCGACGACAAAATCGGCCTTTCTCCTCATTCTACTCCAACTCGAAGAACTGATCATGATTATAGCAAAGATTTGGTTGAAGTGATACAGAGAAATATTCGTTTTACAATGCATCAGACAGTTTTTTGCAAGTTCATATATGTACTCGTGTTATCATCCTTCAAGCTCATGTTTTAGGGTATTCATCTATGGCAATTGAAGAAGTTACACCGTCTGTTTATCCTTCTGGGGCACTCTTCCCTTATGAGGAAAGGACCTTGGAACTTTTGGGGAAGGAACACTTTTCTGTTGTCAACGTCTTCGATGTAATATTGCACCATCAACTTAACATCATGGGCGTGGTTGAGGTCCCTGAAGGAAATGGTCTGGACTAATCTCAGATGGACAAGGTCACATTGCGATAAATTATCATGTAATTGCTAATCCTCTCTTAAGAATCCTAGTTGCAGGCAAGTCATTGAGTGAATTAATATTCTTGCTTCAGAAGGGGTACACAATTTCAAGGGTAAGTTGATTTGTGCAGACAGTGCTGAGGATCTTGCTGTCTTGAAGGTGGAAGACACTGATGATCTACTGAGGCCCATCAATGTGGGGCAGTCATCTTCTTTAAGAGTTGACCAACAGTGCTTAGCCATTGGAATTCATTTGGTTTTTGATCGCACTCTCACTGTGGGGTTATTATTGGACAAAATCAAGACATATTTAGTTAAACTGGGCTCACAATTGGTGGTGGAATTTAGATGCAGCCATCAATCCTGGAAGCAGTGGAGGTCCTCTGTTGGATTCCAAGGGAAATTTAATTGGAATTAACACAGCAATTTTTATTTAAACAGGGAGTTCTGCCAGTGTTTGCCATGCCATCCTCAACTGTGGTAAAGATTTTGCTTAAATTTGGCAAAGTTGTGCAAGCCGGTTTTTATGTGGATACTGCTCTAGACCTGGTAGCAAATCAACTGAATGTTCGAAGTTGAGCTCTGGTTCTGCAGGTTCCTGGAAACACTATTGCAGCCAAAGCTGGGATACTTCCCATTACAAGGGGCTTTAATGGTAATATTTTGCTTGTGGATATATTTGTGCAGTTGACAACAGACCTGTTAAAAGTAAGTTATATAAAAAGCATTGGATGAGTACAATGTTGGGGATAAAGTCCTCTTGAAGATTCAGAGGGACAAAGAGAACTTGGAGCTGCCTAAAGTTTTCAAGGAAAAAGATTCCACAAATGAAAAAAAAAAATCAAAAAAAAAGTAAATCTCCAAAAATTACTAGTCTTCCAGTTGACGTCTCTTGCACCTAAAATATGTTTCCATGCCTCCCCCTCCTTGATCCCCATCATACCATCTAATATCATACAATCACTTTTCATGAAAATCATTCGTTTAAAACTCAATAAGATTTACACTTTGATGTGTTTCTATCACCTTTCTCACACTTGGACCAATAAACTTAACTCTATTAATTTACATGAATTATTACATAAAAATTAAAGTTTAAACACTTAAAGTGATACAGCAATTCAGAGCACATAATATGTTGAAAACATTGCAATGTTCTACAAATAATTTAAGCATGCGTTCTTTAGTAGGCCACACAAAATACCAACTGATATTGCAATATTCAAGTGCACAGTGCAAACTAAATTTTGCACAAGCATGATAGGACATTTACAACCCATGGAATAGAGAGATCATGGGATCAAATTTTCCATCCTATGAAGTTCCACATCATAAACGATATCTCTCTCTTATGATGCAATGTATCATGTTGCTTCTTAAGAATTGGCATTGCAGTCAAACATTTTCTAATACATGCTTCTTTGTATTTTCTCAAATTATTACCATGAGAACTTTTTCTTTTTTGTATCTTTTCACATCATTGTTAGCATAGAGTTGTAAAATGTCAGTGTGGCACCTTGAATCTAAATAATATCTTCATTAAACAAGTACTCAATTCCAACAGTGCCAACAAAATCATACCACTGGACGAATATCAACTCCTCGGGTAGTTTGTACCAATATTCTTACTCTCTTCGCTTCAACTGAAGAACTTTTTATTAGTTCAGTGTCCTCTACTTGAACAACTGCGTCAGCACCATCAGGTATTGGTCCTAGGAAGCACGGGGAAAATCACTTAAGAGAGAGAGAAAGAAAGCATGAAAAGAATCCAACTTTCTAGTGGAAGAGTTTAACCCCAACATTGTTTACAAGGAATATCTTCAAAAGGGGTTATCAAAACAAAAAAAGGAATGTCTTCAAAAGGGAAATTATTTTCAGCTCCTTATTATGAGGGATAAAACCCCAATCTTTCAAACGCAATTTAACTTGATAATAAATTGATTGAACCCTTGTTTTTAGATCACTCCCAACCTTGTTTGAAGTGTTTGGTCGACGACTCTAAATCCTAAAAATACGCAGCAATTAGTTCAGTAAACTTACTCAAACACAAGGTCAACAGATATAAGAACCTTCAAGGCCTAAATTGCAATGTCTGTTTGAATTGAACCTAGTATCGAAAACAAATGTTCATGCTATAAAACACACTCTTGAATAAAAGAGCTTATAACCTATAATCAAGACCCAAATTTTTTTTAATAGAAAACAAAATCCAAATATTGATCAATGGAAGGACACACAACTCCCTTGTACCAATTATACAACAGGGTCAATACTCTACTGTTCAACTTGAAGACAGGGTCCTCCGCCCTTTGATTACAAGCTCGCCATATGATCCACATCAAACCCAAAGGCGCCAAGAGCCAAGTCTTCTTCCTAACAGAGATGTGACATATGGCGTGACAAGAGTAAAGGAAGAGAACCCTAGCAATTAGATAAAAGTGAATAACAATTATGGAAACGTGAGCTAGAGGGAATTATCTGGAATAGCTATGAAAGGGGTGAAGATGACAAAAAGAGGCTCTCTCTTGACACAAATCATGTCAGACATGACCTATTCATTTTATCTTTGCATTTGTCTCTTAGTCAGTCGAATTCTTGTTCAGTGTTTTTAGTAACTTTAGTTTGTCAATTTTTACTCCAGTTTGTACAATTCTTTCAATTTATCAATTGTAAATTGTAATTATTAGTTTCTCCACCTTTTCAAATGCTCTTTTCTGCAAAAACTTTTCCTCACAATTCAAAAATATTGAAGTTCTTGCATCCAAGGGAAAAAAGAGAAGGGCGAAAGAAAAAAAATAAAAAAGAGCCAGTGGCTCATTCCCCTTAACCAAAAACATATCACTTGGTTAGAAGTCAGATGTGTACCATTAGTGCACCATTACATCTGGACCGCACTGGTCCTGGCATGCCTCCACCACACAAACTGCCAAGTATTTTCTCCTTTTTCAAAAAGATAGAATATGTGATATGACATAACAAAAACTTACTAGTATATGGAATCAATGGATGGAAAAATGTAAAATTCATTTTAGAGAGAAAAGGCAGAATTCTACCATGGCAAATTGGAGAATAGTTTGTAGTTTCAAACTTAAGAATATATATATTAAATAAAACAAAAGAAAAACAGGAATCTCGTTTGTAAACAGCAACATTTAGCTATTTGGTTTAGCTATTTATTCGTTGTTTGGGGTTGGCTTCTTTGTGGCTTTGTTTTTCTGGCTTTTTTATGAGCTAAAAAAGCTAATGTGTTTGGAAAGTTGCCAAAAAAGTTGCCTTTTTGTGAGTTAAAAAGTTGATGTGACATCTAACTTTTTTAGCTGATGGCAAACTAGCTTATAGGCTTTTTGGCTTTTTGGCCAAAAGCTGGCTTTTTTGGCGAGTTCCCAAATAGCCTCCTAGTGTGAGGAGAACTAATTATGCATTAGCAAAAAATCAAGTACAAAGCAGAAAACGGAAGGTAATTACGTGAATCTGCTCAAATGAGTTTGGCTTTCTAGAATATTATAAGAGGAGAGACTTGACATAACGAAAGTTACTCTAACTATACACACTGTTTTCCCATTCCCCGGGATGATCAGTTCACATGCAAGGTTGGTGAACATAGGGTATTTCCTTTTTGATAATTTAGTAAAGTTTCAATCACTTAAATAATTATTACTTTCTTCAGCCAAGAACATCACAACTTGTCCAAAGGAGATGCCCAAGTTTGCCAACAATTATTGATTCCATGTAAACAAACACACCTCCAGTGGTTACATACGCAACAGTTCCAGGAGTCACAGTCACACCAACTCCATCATTTCCAGCTCTTGATTCAGTAATTATGGGATATTCACCAGGCCCATCTGAAGCAACTACTGCATAGCCATCCTGCAAATATTTAAAAAATAAAAAATATATATATAAGAGAAAAGAGAGAGAGAGAGAGAGGGAGAGAACAACATTTAATCAAGCATTTAAATATATTGAGCTACAATCAACAGCAACACACACCCAAAAAATATATATATCTGGTTAGCCCTTTAACCACCAAGTCTCTCCAAAGGGAAGGTCTCGGGTTCCACTCCTAGGAGTGGAATGGGAGGGCAAGATTTTCTTGCAAGGTGTATGGATGTGAGTTTCAACTCCCCAATGTGCTAATCTAACAACTAACCACTGACTTTCGCCGATCAAAAAAAAAAAAAACACACACACACACCACAAAAAAAAGAAAGAAAAAGAAGCATTTCTATTTTCCTTCTATCTTGCCATCTTTTTTCTTCTTACTTCTATGATTAAAAGCCCAATCAAGCACAACAAAGATGGCCAAGCAAACCACAATAAGCTATTCTTAAGCTAAGCACAACATTGCTACCAATATTCCAGGCAACAACAAAGGTCGTTCAAAACTTATGAACACAAGCACCAGAGAATCTAGAATGAAGGCCAAGGGAAATGGGTAAGAATTATTGCAACCCTAGGAGAAAGAATTTTAAATTTAAATAAATTTTAAAAAAAAGGTACACTGCTTTTAAACTGGTAGGCTTTCATCATTAATAAGCACATCCATGCCACACAGAGGCACACAAAAAGATGACATAATAATTCCATACTGGATTTAGATCTCACAGTTTTGAAGTTTTGCAAGTACCACAGATATTGTGAGGCCTTAAAAATTCAGCCTAATGAAACAGTTCGAAGCCATGGTTTTAAAAGCTTCCTTCAAAGGCATCAGTAATTATCCATCTCCCTGTAGTCGCAGTTAAAGAACACCAACCCATCTATTCCAGCGAGGCATGTCCATCAAATGAGAACATATATAAAAACAGTCACTATGATTGAAATCTTATAAAATTGGCTACATTAGAGAGGATTTAAAGATCTTCTCAAATGTCTCCTTTTTTTGCTGAGGGGGATTTTTTTTCCTTTTCTTTATTTTTGCTTACTTTTTTGAAAAGTTGTACATCCTTGTAAATATATAGTGAGTCAATATTTTTGTTTTTGTATACATCCTTTGTACAGGGTTGCAGCACCTATTGTGGCGCTTTTTTTTAAACAAAATTCATATATATCAAACAAAGAAAAGGCAACATTGATGTGTGAATCCTATAACAGTCACAAAGTTTTACATCTGCATATGAATGAAGTTCTATAATGTGGTAGCAGCACTCTATGAATTGAAAAAATTAATTTTTACTCTTTCTGTCCATTTAAAAAAAAATAATAAAAAAAAAATATAAAAAAAAGGAAAGAAAGCAAAAAAAAAGCGACTGAAACAAAATAAAGCTAATAGCTATCTACATTTTAGGAACAAATAAAATGTAAACCTCTAGGGATAAGACACACATCCAAGTCCAAAGGCAAGTGATTCAAATACTTTTCAAAACATACATTTAACCTCTTCTATCATACCTTCCAACAAAGCCAATGCCCCATATTTGTCATCAATAGCTAACTGATACAATCTTTTTCGAATAAAGACAGCACAATATTGAAGCTATTGTGTTCATTATATGAATTTATCAAAACAACCTATGATCAAAGCCCAGATGTTGCCATGTGTTTCTCACAGGGTTGCTTAACCAATGGCCAATATTATCAAACTTGACAGAAGTTTATATGAAAAGCTACCTTGCGTCACCTTATAGGTTCAGTTTTCAAAGTGAATCTGCTGATTGGATTCACCAGATTTCTTAAAACTTGAAGGTCAGGTACATACTCTGCTCATTCCTCTTCGTGATCAAATTGGTCTTTAATGTATTGAATTAGATATCTCATCCACAACAGATAGTCGTAGGATTGTAAATTCACATCAAAAAATAGTAATTGCTAACTTTTACATTCACTACGAAAAAAATTGGTTGAACAGCAAAAAACCGGCAATGACACAAAGCCAAGGAAGATTGCAGTGGTTTTGACATAAACAAATCAGTAGCATAATGTTCAACACTCCAATTATGTTCCAACTTCCAAAATTTAGTTCCCACCGAGAAAAAAATTATTTGTATCCCCATACCCAACTCAGCAAATAACAATTCAAAGCAAATCGAGAAATCCAAGCAAAAACTTATGTGGTTTTCGTATTAAAAAAAGAAGGTTACATAATGTTCAACATTCACTTTATGTTCCAACTTCCACCACATTTGTCCAAAATTTAAATCCCACCAAGAAAAATTTATCAGAAATTTTCCTCCACACACATACCCAACTCAGTGTTGGAAAAATGATTTAATATAGGCATATTTTTTAGCCCAATTTTGAGTGGGCCCCAAACGTCTTTTGGGGTGGGTCCGAAGAGGTGAAGTGTTCCTTGCCGCGTGGCAAGTCGCACGGTGAAGACGGAACGTCAAAACCATTTATGAGTGAATGGGAAGTTGACGTCGTTTTCGGGTCTAACATTAATTTTTTAGATAAAATTCATTTGAATTTTTTCAATAAAAAATATTGTGGAAATTTAATTTAAATTCTAAATTCAAATTTTAGATTCCTAAGTGGTTTCCTAAAGTTTGTAATTATGGGAATTTAATTTAATTCTAAATTTAAATTTTGGGTTCCTAAGTGGTTTTCTAAAGTTTGTACCTTTTCCTTTATTTATTAAACTATTCAAATAGTTTAATATATATATATATATATATATTCCAAATAGTTATTAATAATAAAGTTCCTAACAGTTCCTTTGTTTGTCCACCAACGGACACTTTTCAAATGTTTGAATAGTAGTGTTCATGTACAACGGTCAGAATTATTTGAATTCAACTATTGCACCTGTTCTTTCAAAAGTGCATCTGTTCATTCAAATTGTTGTACCTGTTCGGGGACTATGTTGCCTATAAATTGAGATTCTATTCCAGCAGTCTTTACACTGAGAGAGATCCGAAAATCAGTCTGAAAATCTTTTCTCTTGCTGTCCAGATTTTCCTTTTGCATTATTTCTTCATTCTAGTTTTAGAATAAATATTCAGATAGTTAGATCACAGGTTTGGTTCGCCGAACAATTTGTTTTGGAGTGCTACTACAAATTGGTTAAGATCATTGTATCTTGGGAGATAGACGCCACTCAACCGTAAGCACCATAGCGGGGCGAATCTGTCTTAAGGACAGAGTGTCACACACTCGACTTGGTCTCTAATTATTGATTCGGTTCAACAAAATAAATTCTGTAAGTATTATTTTATTTTGTTTGAATTATTTCAATTTATTTTATTTACACAGAAGATTGTTCCAATAATGTTGGAAAAATTAGTTTATTAGGCTTATTTTGGGCCGACTTTGAGCCCAAAATAGAGTGGGCCCCGAACGTCTTTTGGGGTGGGTCCGAAGAAGTAACGTGTTCCTTGCCGCGTGGCAAGTCACACAGTGAAGACGGAACATCAAAACCATTTATGAGTGAATGGGAAATTGACGTCGGTTTCAGGTCTAAAATTAATTTTTTAGACAAAGTTCATTTGAATATTTTCAATAAAAATTATTGTGGGAATTTAATTTAAATATAAATTTATTTTTGGTTTCCTAAAATGGTTTCCTAAAAATGATTAAACTATTCAAATAATTTAATATAAGTATTCCAATTGTTTGGAAAAAAAAAAACTGTTCCACTAAACGGTTTGTTTTTTATTAAACTATTTAAATAGTTTAATAAGTTTATTCCAACAGTTTTATAACTGTTACGCCTTTGGAACCTTTTTCAATTTGTTTGAAAATGTGGTCTTAGCAACGGTCAAACCAACTATTCAAACAGATAAGTTTGAATAGTGGTTGCACCTGTTCAACTTAATGGTGCACCTTTTCACTTCAACTTTGGAACCTGTTCGGGTCTAATGTTTGTCTATAAATACAATCTATTTTCAGCAGTCCAATAGATCCGAAAATCAGTCCGAAAATCCTTTCTCTTGCTGTCCTGATTTTCCTATTTACATTATTTCTTCATTTTAGTTTTAGAATTAAATTCAGAGAGTAAGAACACAAGGTTTGGTTCGCCGTACAATTTTGTTTGGTGTGCTACAATAATATTGTGAAGATCATTGTATCCTGAGAGATAGACGCCCTATAACCGTAAGCACCGTAGCGGGGCGAATCTGTCTCAAGGACAGAGTGTCACACACTCGACTTGGTCTTTTGATTTTTAAATTCGGTTCAACAAAATAGATTCTGCAAGTTTTATGTTATTTTGTTTGAATTATTTCAATTTATTTTATTTACACAGAAAATTGTTCCAAGACTCAATAAATAACAATTCAAAGCTAATCAAGAAATCCAAACAAAAATTTATGTGGTTTGGGCCTTTTTTTTTTTTTTTAAAGTAACGTAATGTTCAACATTCACTTTATGTTCCAACTCCCACCAAATTTGACCAAAATTTAATTCCCACCAAAGGGGGGGAAAAAATTATCAGAAATTTTCCACTCATACCCAACTCAGCAAAAAACAATTCAAAGCAAACCAAGAAATCCAAGCAAAAACTTATTAGAATAATAATAGCAGTGTAATTAAACTCTAAAGTGAAAAACAAAAAAACAAAATAAAATAAAATGATCAACCCAGAAAATAGATTAGATTAGATTAGAGGGAGACCTTGATAGAGGCAGGGTAAGGAGGAAGAGGGTCGGGGGCTGTGATATCATGGGCCAAGACCTTGCCGAGAGCTTCGTGGAGGGAAACAGTGACAGGTGGCAGTCGCTGAGCAACATTGAGAACAATCTGGAGAGCGTTGTCAGCTGATATCATCGTCGTGGGTTTGCTTTGATGATCATGATCGGATGAGGAGACTCTGCTTCCATCGTTTTCAGCCATTTCAACACCCAACCCCAACCCCAACGCCAACCCCCAACTGTACTTCGGAATCAAACGAATCGATTTATATTTGGCGCCGGCACAACCCTATCTATATTACTTGAGTGATTTTTGGTGGATTGATAAATTAAAAAATATTTTAATAAATTATGCAGTCTTTGTACAATATATAAATTAATTTACATAATATTTTTATATATATAACAAAAATTAATTTTACATAATATTTTATATATATACAACTATTAATTTGTAATTAATTTAGCATGTTAAATTTGTCTCATACTCGGTTTTAGTTTGATATTTTATTATAGGTTAAAAAATATCTATGCATTAATTATAGCGGAACTGGGTAGTATTGAAAGTGATTTATAAATTTTAAAATTTAAACCGTGATTAACAGATAAAACAGTGTGAATTGATGTGATTTTAGCAGATTGTGCAGTATTTTGCACAACCCTAGTGATCCGTATGGCTTATTTTTTTATTTTCTTATTTGTGATTGTAGCTTATTTTGGGAGGTGGGTTAAAAATTAATTTTTTATTTATTTTTATTTTTTTAAAAAATATATATACAAAAAATAGACAGGTAATTTGATTAAAAAAAAATTAGAAGTTAAAAAAAGTTGACTTTTAATCAAATTCTCAAAAGAATAATGCTTGGGACCCCCTTTTGGGGGTCACCCCCTCACCCCCCTTTGCCACGTGGCGGGTGGTAATTGGAGGAGCAGGAAAAAAAAGAAAAAGAAAAAGAAAAAGAAAATCTAACCAATGAGAGAGAGAGGGGCTCAAAGGGGGTGGGGGGAAAATGGGGGATGAATCATTGTTGTTCTCAAAATATGAATGTGTAGAAAAAACGTAGAAAGGTGAGTTATAGAAATAAGTTAATAAAATTATACTTATATCACAAAATAAAGGGAAAATTGGCCTAAGGTCCTTCCTCTACTTTTGATAGGAGGAGAGGTCCAAAATAATATGTTTTGATGGCTAGGGTCCCTCAAATTTATTTTAGGTTGTAAAGTACCTAAATTACCTTTCCTTTATAACATAAATTTGTTTGAATATTATATTGTTGACTTAACTGATAGATTTTGGAAACCGAATTTGCAGTGGAGATTTCGTTGGAGTTTTCGTCGGAGATTTCAGTGGAGATTTCATGGTGGAGATTTCGTCGGAGATTTCAGTGGAGTTGATGAGAAAGATTGCTACGATCGTGTAGATTTCGTTGGAGATTTCGTCGGAGATTTCAGTGGTGTTACAGTATGTTGATTGCGTAGATTTTCAGTGGAGTTGAATCAGATTTGTTTTCGATGGAGATACCATATGCATTTTGATTTTTGTTTTGAATTTTTGTTTAGAGAGAAGCCAGCTTGATAGAGTTGATTTTTATTTTTGGAATTAATTTTTCATTCTTTGTTTTTTGATCAATTTCAAATAGTGTTAACAGTATAGGTGATTTTGATGTTTAGAGTTCATTTTTCGTGCTCTGTTTTTTATCAACATGCTGATCAATGATAAGTTTTATTCTCTGTTTTTTCAAACTAGAGAAATTTCATTTTCTGCACTTTTGTTTGTGTAGTCCAGAGAAATTATAAGTGCATATGGACATATTATTAGAAGTTTCTAATGCAGATAGAATATGAGAAAGTGAATGTAAGTTCATAAATTTCTCTGGACTTGCATTTGTAGTTCAGAGAAAATTGTAAGTTTAGGAAAAGTATTTCGCTGGACTTGTATTCTATGTGATTTTTTTTCTATAATTGTGTTTAATAGTTAGCAGTAAATTTCTCTGTGATTCATTAAGTTTCTGTGATTTTGTTTTTTATCATCTTGAAGGTGAATATCAGTTTGTAGATGTCTTTGGACTTTTATTTTAAGTTCAGAGAAAATTATAATTTTTAGAAATTTCTCTGGACATATCAAAATTCAGAGAAATAACTTTTTCTCATAGTACATATGGCAGAGAAAATTCCAAGAAGAAACATTCATTCCAGAGAAAATTATAAATACCAGAGAAACTTAAGACAGAGGCAAGAGTGTAA